AACGAAAATTAAGATACCGGGTTTTATTTTTTTAATGATGAAATGAAAACTCATTGTTCAAAGCAAAAAATATAAATTACACGGTTTTTAAAGATTCAAATTGTTTTTTTAAACATATATTTTTTCTAGATATTTCACTTACACAACAGATTTACTAATGGTTACTAAGACGTAAAAATGAAAAGGACTACTGGACAAACTAATAATACTCTGAAATTATACTTACATAATTTTGTTGTTAAAAAAAATGTATACGATGTATATACATTATACATTTTTATTTATCCGGATATAAATATGAATTCGTTTTCAATAGTTTATCTATTTACATTGATAAATCTATGGTATCAATTTTAGTTCCGTCATCTTTATTTTTGTTAAAATAAAAAAAAATGAAAGAATAATACCTATTTGGACTCCACAGATTCAAACTTGGCGCGTAAAATATGATATGATAGCGATTGCAACATAGTACACATAGGCACACTAGTACCTGCGTATTTTTATAATTGGTTTTAAGTAAAATCCGTTCATTATTACTTGTCCGTTTAAAATCGTCTGTGAACAATATGCCTAAAAGTGTTACAACAGTCGTACACTATATATGATTGATTAATATGCGTATTTAGACAATAATTGCAGTTTACCGAATGTTATAATTGTTTTGTTATTCCATCATATTACACACGTATATAGTTTTACATGTCTTCTTTTATAATTGCATGCTTTCTAAATATATTTATTTAATTGCCAAATTCCATCGTTGCATACACTTATTGTTCGATGATTCGCGCGGTTTGATTAATTCCAGATTTATATAAAACAAGAGAAAACCGTGTCAATTATTTGCTATCTGCTGTAAACTTTGCATATTCATTAATATATAGGTGGGTACATGAGAATAGCTGTCATCATCATAAACCGCTCTTTAATATAACGGTTATTTTAATTTGTCCAATACCAGATGTGATCAAAAAATACCCGGGCATGCGTTAATAATATTTATATCAATAATGATAGTGAAACCACCGATTACTTTATTCGATCGAGGAACTTCTAACGAGTATTAGAGCTTTAGTTGGAAACAGATAACAATAGTTTATTTTTTTTTTCTTGGCGTATTTACGTAACTGTTTTTAGTCATGAAGCGAATTTCATTAAGACAATTAAGACAATCCCCCGGTCCACAACTCATCGTTCATTAGTTAGTTTTTAGCCAAAAGTCAAAATCCAGTTATTCCACAACTACTTTACTTACTTGACCTGGCACCGTGTAGTTTTTTTTTTTTTTATTTTCTTATTTAAAATCAACGCTCAAAGGATGTCGTTTTCAAACAATTGATATCATTAATCACAATACGGAAATCGATCTTAAAGGCATTCCCTTAAGTGCCTACCAGGAAAGCATAAAATACGATGGCAGTGGTGTATTACTTCTCAGGGAGATTACTTCGAAGATGATAATAATATTGTATTAATAAAGTTTAAATTAAAAAATCCGGGTATTTTTTTTATCACGTCTCGTATGCTCATGAATAGTTTCCTATAATAATATTATTAAACGTACGATTTGTCGATTTAAACCAAGGAAAATACTACGAAATACTACTCTGTGCAGACTCGTTTTTTTAATATTGCAATGATTTCTCGTATGTAAATACAATAACCCTATATAACTTTCAAATTTCACTCACTTACAACAGTGGTTTACCCATTTGAGCATATACTGTAACTTTGTAAGACATTCATAGTATAAAGTTTGCGGTATATATAATTATGATAAACTTATTTTTTGACGTTATTTCAGTTAATGAAAATGCTCCGATTTTTTTTACGTAGACATGAAAATTTTTTACCTGATACCCATAGTACTTAATTCAACAATTATTTCTAGATTTTAATATTTTTTCAAAAATATTAAAAAAATAATATACTATTATTAGTAATAATATAGTATAATACACTACTATATCAGAAACAAAATATGAAATGATGTGATCGGTTTTATTTTATTTCTAAGTTACTTTGGATAAAATGGGAAAAAAAACAGCACTAATACTTCTCCACTTAGAATCGTTTTTTGGGTTCAAATTTTTGATCTGGTTCCCGTGCATAAAATTCATCGTGTGTCAATTTAAATCGTTCGCGTATTGTAAATACTCAATTAGGTTTTATGCTCATTGTTTTATCCTTCGCTTTTTGATGTGATGATTTATCGTTGCTTTTAGTATATAAACTAAACTATCCCATATCTTATAATATATCCTCGAAACTCCCCGTCGGAAACAGTGGCCTACCCATGCCGCAAATCCTGCTTTTTTGGTATTCCATATAATTCTAGCTTTTATTTTTAACTAACTTACGTGTTATAATTCGTTATAGTTTACGTGATTTTGGATTCTAACCGGGGCCGGATCGAGCCAGTGAGTTGCCGAGTAAAACTCTACGGACCACGATTCATTTTGTATGTTTGGACCGATGAAAACACGTACAATGTAATTCGTTCAATAAAGAAATGCAATTGTATAATAAGAATGCGATTATATATAAATGGAATAAAAACGAAATAGTTTATTATCGACAGGAATTATGATCTTTGACACCATTCACGCAGTACACGCGGTTAATAATAATATAATATTATGATACAAGGGTCATAAAAATCGATTCGGATAATTCAGATACAGTGAAATTTATACATCAGGTTATTTATAAATTTAGCAAAACAAAATTTATCATTATCAAAGCTTAAAGGAAAAGAAAATATGTCTCAGTTTGAGAGTTGGGCCGCTTCATATTATAATTCAAGCATGTTTTACTTTTCAATCTGTCAGTAATACTGACATAATGAGGTCCCTAATATACCTTATAGTTTTACTGTATTCTTATAATAATTTACAATATTAAAATGTCCGATTTGATAAACTTGTAATTCTTTACAAAACCATCGAGTTTGTAAATAACGACGTTACCCTATATTATATTTTTTACCTATTCCGGTTAAGTGTCTACAATTATAATATTATTGTTGTAATTAATCCCACATCTATACTATCTCGGTCCAGCTGTATAATTAACGGGTAACTTAATACGATCACGTCTAACGTAAATAACTGTGGCGTTCAGGTTGAAATGAGAGTTTAACCTGCATAGAAACCACATTTTCGAGGACACCGCGTTTACAGTTTTTCTGTAACATAATCAAACCAAAAAGTTACGGCAATGTTTTTTTTTTTTTTTTTTTTCTAAAGTTTATGATGGATAAACGGATATAACTTTTTTAGTTTCGCCATTATGTATTATGTAGCCGCGTCAGTTAAACCGAGACGGTAGACACTGGCGCGTGCAGCGTAGTCCTCCGAACGCGTTTCGAATAAAGGCCGCGGGAAATCGTACATCGGAGTTGTTTATGTAGAGGAAATATCATTTGCGCACAGTGTCCAATTAAAATACCAACCTATACTATTATAGATAGATCAAAGTCAATCGTACATGTACATAATAAAATATACAGATTGACAGTATAATACTCGCCTATTGAAACCGAATTTCTCGTCTTTAATTACTATTATTGGTACCTGTGTATTATCATGTACACATTGCCTCCATAGAAATATTCTGAATGCGCAAATTGTGATATTTTAATAGCGCCCGCGGTAATACCAGCTACCTAATTTATTGTAACATCAAATATGCCCGAGTTATACTATAGGTACCCGTACCTATATTGCGGTTATTATTATTCATTGTTCATAATGTTTTTTTTTTCAAATAATAGTTTAAACAATTACTTAAATGTGTTCAATGAAGCGCGTAGGTATAGGTATCTATAAGTATATATATATATCATTATTATTATAATCATGGTATGCATAGACTGAAATATGGCGATTGTTATACCTATCAAATTATATAAATTGATGTACCCATATTATTCTATACAACATTCAACTCGTTATGCGTGCGGGATGTGTCAAAAAAGCTATTTAACTATGTAGGTATTCCATTCTTGTATTATAAAATGTATAGGCGGGCAAATATAGGTGCATACGCATTGACAATTATTATGGGTTTTAATTACATGTATTGGTTAGGGCAGTGAACAAAAAAAAAAAACAAATACAAATCGACACCGCATAAGAGCATCATAACGTTTTAAATGAACATTATCTTATATTTTTGATATTGCATTAATAGGTTGAGTTGAAAAGTTAAACATTTAGTTACTTTATTTTTTTTTTTTTCAATCATATCACTCGTTAAGTTAATTTAAATTTCTTTAATATATTAAAATTTACGCAATATAAAATTCAATAATCTGCATACACTGTTATTTTGATTAGATACTATGATAGTAAAATAATCAATTTATTTATAATTTTAAATAATGCGTTTGAATTTCCGTGTTTTAAACTCTAATATTATAATATTTTATAATAAACAAATAATATATAAGTATAGTTCCATAATTCCAACATGTTTATTGTTAAACATGTTTGATGATCATTGTTGAAGTCATTAATCATTTTCACTATGTCAATGACAATTTCACAATACAAATTAATTAATTTAAGTTATTGAGTTTATTTAATTTTCCAAATTAACTTTTAATTTCACTCAATTTATTAAACAATGAACTCATTAAATGTCGTTTAATCAATTTAACTTAAATAACTGAATTAATATTATTCATACATTGCAATCTTGTATTTTTACTGTTTAGGTATCACTTAGTGTACCTATAAGGTGCAATTAATTTACTGTTGGTAAATTATTATAATACTCGAATAATCTATTCTGAAGTGTAAGAACGACATCATTTTTATTTTATCATCTTCAGTGGACATTGACAAATTGTATGTAATATGTGTATCACTAACTGCAGAATGGGAACATGTCCACTTTCTAACGACATTTAGTTATCACTCGATTTATTATCATCTACTTTAAATACATATTTTATGCAAGAATAGGTCCAAAATCTAGTCCATCAAACCGTTATGGAAATATCAGCCACTAAAGTGAATGATGGCGCGGAAACAGGAAAAGTCCAGGATATTCACCAGTTTTTTGTGTCTCTTGTAGAATTTGGCTTTATAGACATGTCCGTTTCTGCAATTAGTGATTCATGTGAATTCGATTTTTAAGTTATTAACTTTTTAAGTTATTTTATTATCTTTTTTCTACGCCAATATTCTCTGTAGGTGCCTTTTATATACTGTAGTTAACTAAAACTTTAAAAACTGATAATATACAGGAATTTTGAACATAAAACCTACGTTAAAAAATTGTCAGCTATCAGTCTGTGTATGAGCGTGCTCAATAGTAGATTGATAGGGGGTTCAAGCCCTCCCCATTGACTGTTTTACATAATCATTTTTTTTTATATAATTGTATTTCTTGATTGAGATATAAGTATCCGATACCAGGTTATTATCTTATCAGTCTTATGAGCTCTATCAATATCTACAGCAATACCACAGTGAACTTTTTCGTAGTTTTTCATTTGGTTTTTGGTTAAAGCTGAAAACTTACTTATAATAAGCATAATAACTGAAGTAATTTTTCTAACTTATAATTTGATGTTTGAAATGATAATTTATTAATATTAAAATGTTTTTCAGACTCAATTTAACGGACTGACGATGTTAGCTATTTACAATGATGCACTTTTATCCGTAAAAATACCCAATGACCTGGCTAAAAAGCCTCGTAAACTTGACTTTGTATGTGTTAACTAAACTATTGAGTATTTAAGCATTATTTTTGTAAAATTTTAATAGATAAATCATATTTTTATTGATTATTATAAAAATTAATGTATAGATATAACCATTAATTCTATGCGCAAATACATAGTCGGGATGAAGGCGAAGGAGAAGAATTATCAATTTAATATTAATCTGGTTAGGAGGTGATTATCATTTTTTAAATTATACATAACAAGATGGGCTAGATGATGCATTCGGCTTATCTTATAATAACAAGACATTATAAAAATAAAAAAAATATTTCAACCCCCTACCCCTTCAAAATTCCCTACTTCACCCCCGAATCCGCGAAGTATCGATTTGTAGACGATTTTATATTCGGAGCGTAGCGAGAGATCTACCGATTTTACTGTGACGTGTTTTTTGATATCTAAAGTAACTTTTTTCATAATAATTAAAAAAAAAAACCAAAAAGAAAGAAATATACAGCGTAACGATTTCATTATTTAAAATGTTTAAGATTATATTTTTTCTACCAAAAATCTTTGTTCCACATTTAAAGAACAGCATGTTTTCTGAAAGAAAAATGTATCTTGTTTGTAAACAAGAACGTAGTTGTTTGATTTTTCGTATAGTTTTCCTAATAATTACGAAAAATCGGGAAAAAGCGTAGAAAATACGGCAAAATGTACGGCATATGAGATTTTTTTGTTATTCGGTTAAAAATTATTATGGGGACCTGTAAGCTGAAGTTTTCTCTAAATACTCATGTCGGCCTTTTGTTGATGTGGTAAAATTTTAAATCATTTTAGCTATTTTTATGCTATTTATACAAATTTGATGTTTTCGCGGTTTTTAATTAGTTTTTACTTGGGATGTAACTGTTATTAAAATTATATGACGTGAAATGCTTGAAAACTTAACACAAAGTGACAGTGGCTATTTTTTCTGACTTTTCGCATTGCACATACATGTATTTGAGTTTGGTATGTACACGACATAGACGGAAATTCAAAATTTCAATACCAAAATATATTTTAACTAAAACGTCATCCATTTATAGAATTTTTAATGTAAGATACTGTTTTAAAAACCAAAAATAATATTTTTACACACTATAATAATGATAACAGAAAATAACGGTAATGAAACATTTTAGAGCTATTGATTTGATAAGTTATACAAAAAAAAAAAAATGGCTGAAAATTAAATAGTTACTTTTCCAGATAATGAGTGTTATCCTATCGAAGATTGATAACACTGTAAGTGGTTATAAAAAAAAAATAAATATTTTTCTCTGCGGAACCTCGTGTCTTGTTTATTAAAAATAGGAGGTGGCATGTAGGTACACATTCTAATTTGGTGTAGTGCACAAAGTGTGTCCTAGTGCGCGCAAAAAATATCCAACGCTCAATAGTCTAAAAAGCACATTTGAGTCTAATGCATTAGTTTATTTTTCATAAGCGTTTTAAAATCAAATTTTGAAGAAAACCGTATAACTTACGGCGTTTCAAAATACGTCTTGCTGAACTTCGCTCCGAATCGTTTTTCGTCAGCGATGGTTTATCTTTGAGAGACAGATATAAATAAAATAACTTTGTGCAACCCATCTTCCCGACGGCAATCGCACCCGTCCCGAATATCAGATCTGTTTAGTTTTGCTATGAAATCGAATTTTATTATATTATGCGCTCACCGTAAGTATAATATTTGTACACGTAAATAACTGAAAATTATACGTTTTTCCTGATACACAAATAACATTCTGTAATAGTTTTAACGGGCACTTTGAATATAATATAATATAATATAAGTACATAGATCTATCTAGTTCAATACGTTTCAACACAATAATATTATATAGTAACACGTCGCTGTGTATTGCGTACAGATGACGTTCAGGTGCATATCGTTTATATTTATTATATTAATAGGATAGTTTTTGCGAGAACGTTTTTTCACATGTAAAATCAGTGCCGTGGGAATGAACGGCCGAACTGCAGATGTTCAAAATATGTAATTCGATTTACAAAAATGTACGCGATAATAATATTGTTTATTATGCGAACCAATAGGCGGCTATACCTATGTGTTATAAAATATTATTTTGCACCGGTGCGAAAACGTAATTTTTGTTCGGTCAATATTACATTTCGGGGGTACCCATCTCTATTCGTCAACGAGAGAAATAATATTACACACGTATACTTTCCAACGGCATTGACCGGTCGTATCGTTTATTATCATTATTATTTTTGCGTTGTTGTTATCGGACAATAATAAAATAATTCGTTTTTGGTACACGTCCTTACATGGGAAACAATCAATAATAATATATCGTACGACATTATCCGGCGGTGCTTATCAATTTTTTTGTTCGGCACGATTTTCGCACGTGGTACAGTTATTAAACTTACTGTATTATGTAGGCATGATATTTATTAACACTCGAGATCGGACCGAGGGCATTAAAATCGTATTATTATTCTGAATATTATTGTTATTGGTCGGAGACGGACAATCAATCCTCCGGGCCCCGGGACCTTCCGCGCGTTAATATTACGTCTCATTGTTACTGTCATAGCTATGAGTATTGTAGGTATGATCGTGTCCGAATTAAATCCGGTGAAACTCGAACCCTCCGTACCCCACTCGCCGGCCCCCCCCCACCGTCTAAGTTGGGTTTTAAAATGTCATACAACGATCGCGCGGACAAAACGACCCGAATCCCCGGGCTCACGCGATTGTACGATAACAATTATAAACCATAATCATTATTATTATTAATAACGATATTATTACAATAGTAGGTATACATTATAACAATATAGTATAATATCGATTCCGTTTGCTCGCGGGCCGAAATCGTATTCCCCGCGTACACATTTTAGGACGCTTCGCGAGAAATCGCCGAGTATCTTAACGACAACGTCTTTTTAGAAATCGCGTGGTTTGTGTACTAATTACTAATAATCCTATATAAACTATGCCTATATGATATGCTGTAAGTATATTCTCTATTATATCCTACATTCTCAACTATCCGTCTACAGCGGTGGCCTACCAATAAGAAGTACCGTCTTGTTTAAGCGCAAGCGTTTGGGGGGGGGGGGCTAAATTAAACAAAGAAGCTGCAAAATTCTAGTTGTTAGTTGTTTTAATTCATTTTTTAAATAAATATATAAAATTATAAAATATGGTATACCGTACTGTACGGTCCGTACAGTCTACGTAACATCCCTCCTGGACGGTGGTGTAGTGAAGTCGTTTTTTTATTTAGGGGCGCAGTCGAGCCCGTTCGATCGACTGCAGACTTAACAAAACAAAAATCTGTTTTTCATGTCCACAAACCAATATTTCTGTTTGTCTATAATACAACCAATTTCCATGTCGATAATCCCGAATTTCCGAGAGGGTCCACGTAAAAACTTGGACGGTAAAAATCTGGACGGTATAAATTTGGAATTTAATATTTAAAACAACTCCCTCGTGTACAACATACAAAAAACCTCGTGTTAAATGTTCAAGTATTTCTCCGTCATACAATTTTATATTCTAGATTTGTACCGTCCAGATTTGTACTGTCCTGATTTTTACAGTCCAGTTTTGATCGTCCAATTTTTTACCGTCCAGAATTTCACGAATTTCAAAATTTTTTATTCCACATTTGTACTGTCCAGATTCGTAGTGCTCAAATTTGTACATTCCAGGCTTTTACGAGCTCCTTTACGAGTTATATATTTTTTTCTCAAGTACATTTAACCGACTTAAGTAGTTTAGAGGGGTAATACACCGCTTTAGCACCTCTCTAGTTTCACCTCTGTCCTCACACAAGATACAACTTATTAATATTTTCATTTCAGTAAATGTCTAATGCACAATTCCCGTTTAAAACTATAATATAGTATTATGTTTTTTTTTTTCTAAACTAACATTTAATTAGATGTTCACCGTTATCAAAAATTACCCATCCTTCATTTCTAACAACAATAATAATTGCACGGTTTTAACTGTACGAGTAATTATTTTAATGAATATACCTTCAGAAACATTTTTTTTTTTTTACGGTTTTGTCTCTTATTGGAACCATAATATTATAATAGTTCTAAAATTACGCAATGCCTTAGAAAATACGAAATTTCCGGCCGGTGGTAATTTACTTGAAATAACTTTTCGAAATATCTATCGAAATTTCCACAATTCATTCCAAAGTCATTTTTTTCATTTTTCTTTATTTCAAGGTTACTTTGGCAACAAGAGAAAAAAAAATATCACCACTCCACTTTATTTTTCAAGTAATTTTCATGATAATTAGGAAATAAAGAATGGAGTCGGATGAATTTACGGCACATACAAATTTATCGAAAATAATGATACTTTTCCATTATATTCGATTTGTTCCATTTTGTTTTTTAATTCTAGAATTCTTGCCTCAAACCTCTAGTGTAGCAACTTAAATATAAAGTTATATCTAAAAAAACGTTTTTTTTTTTTTTTATTTTCCGTGTAGTTTCTTTACTTTTAACGAAATTTGTAAAAATCACGGCATTTCAAAATATGTTTGATTGAACTCCGCTCAGAACAGTATTTCGTCAGTAATGATCTATCGTTGAGATAGTTAAATAACTTTATATATCTTACCTTTTCAACTACCCACCTACAATAGTGGCACATCCATCAGCAATATCAGCTTTTATTAATCCATTTTATTTTATTTTTTTCAGAACAGAGCAAGTGCCAAAAATCATTAACTACAAAACATATGAAAATGCCCAGTGAGTACAATTTTATATTTCAAATTAATGAAAATTAGTTATACTTTATGGACAAATATTGAAAAAAACACGCGATTGAGTTTTTCATAAATCATATCCAGAAAAGTATGCCATACAATTTATAGCATAAACAATGAAGGTATTGATTATAAAAAAAATCTGAAATGTCTTCACTTTTTGCAAATGTCATTTTGCCCATAATTGTTTATTAATATTAATAGTCATATTTTATACACGTAAACAATATTTTAGGTATGAATTCGGTAACATTTTTTTATGTATAATATTATTATTATATGTAAATTATTAATTCGGCTTGAAATATGTAAAACAAAAAGAAAATAATGTACAGTTATATTGCAGGTATCTATAGTACTTAAAAATTTAATAAATAATCATTTAAACGAGAAAAAAATGCATATCATATGATCGGTCATCGTTCATCATAATATTGTATCCGTATTAAAATCATTTACATAATGATGAAGTATCTGCGATATGATTACGGTATGCGTGAGTGTTTTATGATGAAAAAAAATTGATATAATAATATTATTAATCGTCGAGAACTATTAAGAAGGTTAAGAGGCCGTCACAGTAGAATATCTAGCCGTCTCCGTTTTTATAACGGACAAATTATAGTAAAAATGTGTTTATGTATAACAAACTAAAACACTAAAAATCGTTGAAAATTGGTTTTAGAAATAAACCGTCTATATTATAATATTTGTGAGCTAATAAATAATAAATAAGCTAATAAATACATTTTGAAGTCAACCTCTTTTTTTTTTCTTGTGAAATACTAAATATTTAAAAAGTCATCGTTCTTAGTGAGGAAAAAAAAGTTGTACCTTTTTTATCTTCAAAAATGAGTTGAATATTTAGTGTAAAACGCCGTCCAGGTTACCTTCAAAATGTGGTCATCTATAAGTATACATATCGTATATAAAATAGGTGGATCGTCTTTAAAACTGATTCTATAAAGCCCTTTTCATTCGTTTTACGCGAATACTTTTCGGCTACTTCGGTTATCGAGCCCCGCGTTTTCACCGGGGTTGGACCGTTCCCGCCTTTTTTATAGATACAATAAAAAAAAAATTTCAATACTCTATAAATAAAGTATTTAAGAATATACAGAATAATTCGCTAAGCGTGCTCATCCCATTTTTTTGGTTAAATTTTGCATGTATTCAAATTCTGATTTTTGCAGGAGTCAGTAGTGGTGTATCATTGTATCTTGTGACGGCACAACGCGTGGCGTTTTGTTAATGTTCCACTACTTTCCTCTACCTAAACTTAAAAGTGAAATATCTCGGAAATCAAAAATTTATTTAAAATAATACTCCATCGAATTAGAATTTTGAATACATGTTCTCATTTGCAAAACCTAAGTTGGTATCGTCAAAAGACACTCCCTAAATGCTGTGAAAAATCAAATTATTCGAAAATATCGGCTTAAACTATATTTAAAAATTTCAAAAATCAGAATTTGAATAAATGTCAAATTTAACCAAAACAATGGGGTGATCACGCTTAGTGAATCGTCCTGTATATTGTGTGTACCCTCGTTTTAAACTCGTATTACCTAAACGGTGTAACTTTTTATAAATGTATCGATTGAAACAACTCGGTTTATATTTCGTGTACGTATATTATATAATATAGTAACGCGCTTATTTTTTTTTAATGTTGCCGACCGTCAAATTTCTATTCGTACGACTATTTAATGACAGAACGAAATAATAATTAATAGTAGATACGTTTTTGTTATTATTTTTTTTTTTCAGTAGTGAATTTTGCCCATTTTGTCGTCTAACACGAGTATTATAAACGTTGTTTAGTTTCCGGGAGATAAAACGAAAAACGTGCACGATGATGTACAGCCAATATAATATGGGACGGACGTAGACATCTGAAATTTCGAACATCAATGGTGCGAAAACATCGAAACCGGATATTTAAACAATTTAAATTTCCAAAATTCGAAAATGTCTGCTCTCGTACCTCTATTCGTTTCTAAAAAGAACGAATATTACACAATTTCAGAAAAATAATAACTCTTTTTTTTAATGGCTATTGTACACTGTACACTCACATAAACGTATTTTGTACTTTTATGCCCGTCGTTTATGTGATATGACATAATCGGTAAAAAATATATCATTTTCGTCGAAAAATAAATCCAAAAACATAGAAAAACCGTTTTTATACAAATATATTTCTTAAATAACTTAAATGTTTAGTTAAAAGAAATAACTGCAAGTTATTATAATAATTAATTTTCTAACATTTTTTTTGAACTGGTTGAGTTTAAATTTATCAAAATAGAGTAACGTATAATTTAACGATCAACTTTTCACCTATAATTAGTGTCCAGTTTTGGTTATTGAAATCATAATATAGCGTAATGTGTAACTGAGACAGTAACCTACCCTAAATAGTTGGGTTCAGTGGTGGCCAAAAGGATAATTTTTATGAACTATATTACGATTTATATATTTCGATTTTTTTTTGTGTATTCAATACTATCGTAATAATCGTATTATTTTCGACACGATAAACGGTAAAATGTTTACTATCGGAAATCAATTTCTGGTATCATTTATTCAGTTCTTCACGTGACTATCGGCTGGAGCTGTTGTAATAACAACAGTCGTCTGCAGTAAACCGCGGTCCAAACATAAAGTACTATCATATTACTCTATGGGTCCAACATAGAATACGTAGGGTTCAATAAGCTAACCAATCGTTATCACGAACCGCACAACTGACCACGTTGGTTGATCGCAGTTTACAAAATATTAATCTACCATCACAGATTCGCAGATTTTAATTAATTTTATCGAGTGTGCGTTCAAATATGATATACTACTACCCTGTCAGTAATGTGTACGCGCGCACTATGGCTTTGCGTAGCGTTTTTCGCTAAATGCGATTTATTACCTAAGATTGATAATATTTCTAGATTTTTGTATAAAATATAAATGGGAGGGCGTAGTGTCTTTTATCAACAAAGAGGCATACTAGGTATTAGTACAACGTAAAATTTATACGCGTATCTCCGTGCACTCGTGAATCCGTGAACACGTCGCTGGCGGATTTCGCGGACACATTGGTTTCGACCGCGAGCCCTCGGGCGGAAAACTACTTCCGTGCGTGCAAAGTATTTGGACCGGAGCACCGCAGTCAGTCGGGTGTTTTTTTCAATTATAATATTATGTTACATATTATTATGTCGTTGTAATAACCTAATGCGTTTTAAAATATTATTATTATATTATTGTCATTACAATAGCGAACGGCGTCGTTTATTAACTCGGTCGATTTTTTGTGTAATAATTATACTAGGCCCGAAATGACCGACTTGCAGTTGCAGTCGGTAGTCGTCGCCCGCGTCCATTGTTGTTGTCGCCTCGTCCTCCTCCTGCACAGCGGCTCGCGATAATCAAAGTGAAATCTCCCACACGGCCGACAATTTGTTGCTTTATATTTATTATTATTATTTTATTTGTATTTTTTTTTTTTTTTTTTTTTTTTTTTTTTTTGCCCCGGCGTTATCGGTTCGTTTTGTTCCATTGTCCGCGCCGACCGTTTATTTTCTCGATTCTCCCGACTACGCGGCGACGCACGCGCATTATTTATTTGTATTATTTTTTTTTTTCCATTTGTACATATACACGGACACACGTATGTGTATTAATATCAATTCTAAATACGAGACTCTGACTACAACTAATACGAGTACACGCCACGACGACGTCCCTCGTCTCGTCATCGACGTAAAACGTGACCGCACGTCCGACAAACACTCAAACGCCCCCCCAGACGTGTTGTAGCTAAATATGAATAGGTACACAAACACGCGTCTTCCGACAATATTGCAGTGTTTTAAAATGACCGACGCAAACCTATAAACGTCATAATATACAGGGTGATTATAGACAGTGGTATTCGCATAAAATATGCTACATGTATACGCTGCGCGCATAATATTCATTTCAGTTTCAGAATTATGATACAAATCACAAGTACGTGTACTCAGAAATAGTTTAAGAAAAAAAGAAAGAAAGAACAACTGTCAAAGTAAAACTTAGAAAACGTATTTATTAATCTAACGAGAATCTTACTAGTAGAACACATTCGGGAATATTTTTTTCTGTAGACAACTTTTCTACCAGAAATCTTGCTTCGATTTACAAATGTAGCACTTTTTCTAAAAGAAAATCGGACTGGCGAGGTACTTTAGAGAGGTGATTTTCAGATTTTTCCAATAAATGGGAAAACCAGAAAAAAATGGGAAAATAATTACAATATTAAACAAATATTGTTAAAGAAAATATAAAATGCGTATATGTAATTATTTCAGCAAAATCTACAAAAATATTGAATTTCTTATGTACCAACAAAAAAAAATTGTCATTCAAAATAAATGATACCCTTACAATTTGGAGCAAGATATCTGGTAGAAAAAAAAATCATAAAATCGTTAATACCGTAAATATTTTTAACCTTTTTCTACCAATTTTTCTAAACTATTAGAAAAACTGCAAATAATACCAATAACTTTCCTCTCCTGGGCAATAACTAGATCCAAAATGCTATAAAAAAAATTCATTGTAGTATTTTGATTGAAAGCTTTGAAGATTTCTGATAAAAAATTTGTTTACAGACAAAAAAAGAGAGAATACAAAAACTAAACTATTAAATTACTCGCTACCACAGAGTAATAAATTGAAACAAAATTGTTGATAATTTTAAGTTTATTAATTAGCTGTATTGTTAGCTTGTAAGCAGTTCTAAACATTTTACATTGGTTATAGTAAATATATACCTAAATAGAAAATACTGAACATGTAATCCCCTCTCTATATTTTACTTTTATATCAAATAAGTAAAATAAGTTTCAGTGTAGCGAGCTTATTGTTAATAAGTAAACGACTTTTAACGTAGAAAAACTTCAAAACAGTTAATACCGGCGTACTGCTATGCTGACGGTACTTTAATTCACGATATGTTGCCTATACAGTACTCCCTAATCGGGAACAAACAAACTGTACACATTTCCTTTCACTATTTCTGGGACTAATCAGGCAACCTATAAAACACTATGTTTATTCGTGTACACAGTGTTGCCTATTTGAATCGGATAAGGCCCGGTGGCCGGTATGATGTTCGGAATTGTATTATTTATTTTATTCTGGCGTTTTGTCATGCCTCCTGTGTTATATTTAAGGAGTTACGAAAAGCAATTTACTGTCGTAACATTTATCGACTAGAATATATTCCAATTCATTTTCATAAATTAATTTAAAAGTTTCTCTGTGGTTTTATCACAAGATTTTTTTTATAAATATACTTTTTTTTAGTAATTTTTCACACATTTTTCATACATTAAAAGAAGGGGACTTCTTATCTGTTAATACTTTGTTTCAAAAATATATCTAGACAGCTTTTCTAAAAAAAATTGAAAAATCTAACTACAGATTTATTTTTGTTAATATCTGAGTTACCTTGACTTATTACTCTAATTTTTTTATATATCTAAAAAATATTAATGAGGTTATCTTCAAAACCCAACATAAAAACACCTTATACCTAACATGAAAACTGTATGTTAAAGGTACCCGATGAAAAATGTTTGTTTATATGGTAAACGGTAGCATATAGTTTGTTTCAACTGGATCCCTGAACTTTTTGCGCCTTTTCCATCTGGCTTACGAATACAATTTTTAGTGTGCATTTCGAAAACACAAGTACAATAATATGCGGATATATCTCTGTATGTGTTGTTTGGAATGAGTTACGTTTTAAAAATCAATTTGAAGCCAATTCGGAGCACGTGGAGGTTGCCAACTTCTTTATAAAAAATGTCGATAACTGTATTTTTGAGCGAAAATCAGTCGCGTATCAACAAAGGGTTTTCATGTTGTCCCACTGGCTTTGTGAATGATAAGTTTGTATCGTTTTATTATTATCATCATCATAAATTTATAAATACTTAATATTTATGAGGTACTTTTATTCTTTTTTTTTTTTTTTTTTTTGAGCCAGTTTAAAATATTAGTGAACGATTGAGTTATCCCGAATGTTATTAATATAATATAATTAAAGATAAGTTTTTGTTCGACCCAGTCTAAACTTAATATTCGTCTTTAAATTGCCTATATAAAACCCCTTAAAGTTATTACTGTTGCGGTCTTTCTTGTGTTATGTGATCATCTTTTGGTGTATTGTATAAGCAATTTATAATACATCCTTGTACACGTGTTTGCCAACGCGTTCGAGATCGGTTTCTACGCAAAATATTCAAGTTTTACTTAAAACGTTTCTAGTAAAACCTATTATTCTTATAGTTTCTACTATTATTGTATTATAATTCACAATAGTACATTGAATAAATAAATCAGTTTTAATTACTGTGAATACTATAAGAAAATATATAGAATATTACTCGTAATAAATTGCTTGATAATATATGCTATGTTTGTTTTCCTAATAATATATTTGCACTAATAAAACTAACAACTACAATTTACATAAATTAAATGAGAATTCCTCATATTTACTTTGTATACGAATTTCAATAATTAATAGCTTCAGCAGTGTATGATAATAGTGCTGCAAAAGCTGTATACTTATTTGCTCGAAAATTATTTCCGTTTTACTCGTACTAAAACGACATGTTAAAAAAAAAAAAATGAGTATTGTTCAATATTGATTGGTAAAACTTGTTTGACCATATATAATCAATCAGTACCCATACTCGGATGATAATGATCAATAGCGGAAATCACTGTCGAGTGTCAGTAACCTTTTAATAGAAACTGCGTAGTAATTGAAAACAAATTCAACGTTAATAAAATATCTATCGATTCCCCTCCCCCCCCCCATTATTTTCTTTATACCGAGCGACCGAGTGTTTTGATTAATTGCAATGTAATTCTGAAACGCATTGACTACAATAATATTGTCGTTTATAAATGATAATAATATAGTACCTATTACAGTATCATTTTGTAAAAATAAACCATGTTATTTATAGTCGACAAAAAATGTTGTTAATAATTTTCAAACATTATACGACATTGACAACTACGTATTTGTTTCGATTTTATTTCGTAATGTTTGATTATTATTGTTAAAACCCTACATCGATAGGAGTCGTCATTTTGCACGCACATGCCGCAGTCATAAATTCAATTATTAACTGTACCTATGCATCGTACCAATAATAATAACAATACATTTTATTATTCCCGCGGTGACGAATTAAACGTCGTCGTAGAAATATTAATGAAGTTAAACTGCCGTTATATGCGTTTGGATATTTCGGATATCTTATGGTTCATCAGTCATTACGTCACCGTAATCGCAATGACCAATAATCTAACAGGTATTTACAAAAATAATACTTGTAGTACACACGAATCCCAAATAAACAATGTCAAATACGTTATTATTTATTACGGATATTATTATTATTATTATTATTATAAGGTAGGTACGCCAGTTTTATATTATCTGGCATTAATTTAGCCGACGTTAACAAAAAATGACTTGCCTGTCGTATAATACGAGCCATCTTTGTTACTTTTTATTACAATACGCACACATTTTTTTATTTTTTTATGTATACTTTAATGGCTCGCAATAATCTAATGTTGGAATTATTATACTGCTTTAATGACAATATTAAAATATAGCGTTACAAACGTGGAAATGTTATAAAACCATATGTATGTGCGTGTAAGACTTTTTAGATTTCAGTGAGCATTTAAATCCGTTTCCACGACAACATGCAATTATAATACAATGCTTCCATGTTTCGTCTTCCATTAAGTACTCTGTCCGATCATCTTTGGTCTGCATCTCGTTATTTGTTCAAGTAGTCCTCCGATCTACGTATACGACATGTCCGCGGCTTACCTCAGGCTAATGCTTTTTAGAACCCATATAATAGAAAAATGCTTTATTGTCTACGATTATTACAATAAACTTTCGCTTACATTGTTGTAAATATTTTGTTAAACAAGATAGCAGATAGTAATCATTAAATCTTTGTCAATACAATTGCCTACATTTGTGGCAAGATTATAGACGTATCACAAAACATTTTTGACACCCCTCCGCCCAACGGATGATTGGACATCCATATCCCCCAATAATTAAGCCACTGCTCCAATAAAGTTAGTTATCTCGTCTGAAAGAAAAACATTTTTTGCACTAGCCTTAACAATTCCGTATTTTCATGTAGTTTCAGAATTTGTATATTGTTAAGCCAACAGAACATAAAATAATCAACAAGTTTAATATTTTAAATTCTGAGTATAGCGAAGAAAGTGTTGATTTTAAAAATACGTTTATTTTTTGCTTCTTTTTTTTTATAAAAGAAGCTTCTTTATTTATACTGTGTACAAAAATTCGACTAGGCATATTGTTCGATATGCACACGTGGTACCGTTTCTGAAAGAAATATTTCTTAGATGCCACCTTAGGAAGGTCATATTTTGATTTTCTAAGTGGTTTTCATAATGTCTAGGAAAACCCGGGATAAAACCTTAAAAAAACGGAAAATTTACGAAAATAATGCTTTTTATTATTTTCAATTTTGTTACTTGTTGTAATTCAGTTCAAAATATTCATAGAAACTTTAAATTTAGACAGAAAACTTATATTTGTCTTTTCTAGACATGGTAAAATTTTCAAAATTTTTGAACCACTTTTGAGCTTTTATAGTGATTTTAATTTTGCTAGTTATATGCGTTACTTTTAGGTACGATAGGTTCTCTGGTAAAATTGTTAACATCAGGAAAAAATGGGAAAATAATTACAATATTAAACAAATATAATTAAAGAAAATATATAATTATTTTACCAAAATATGACATATATAGTTGATAAAGTAACACTATTAACAGAACTCCGCGAAGTATGTCCATTTTTTTATATCACATAATTATTTACATAGTCAGACGATATTTATTGAATGGTTTTTTTTTTCTCTTGGCTTGTTAGCCAAGTCAATTGGTTTCGACAAAAACATAATAATATACTATAAATATAAATATTATGATTTTTGTCGTGTAACAAATGATTAACATGACAATAGTACTTAATTTTCACGCGTGTTCGAAATAAATAAATATTATTACTGCTAGAACAAAAAATATCGACTCTGTTTCAGATTGAATTATACATTTTGGCACCCGATAATATACTATTCTGTGTTCGGTAGTTCTACTATAACATAAAATAAATTATTTGTTAATATATTCCGCCTAAAGTATTTCCGCCATTATATACACGTATATTGGATAAAAAAAAAACAAAAATATATCGTAAAATATTATGCAAAGTTCGTTAAACAAAGCATTGTGACTGAAAAAAAAATTATGTTGGTAAATAATTTTCATGGATGTCATTATTTTTACAAAGAAACAAAAATTAGTAAATTTAAACTAGTGTATTTTATGAATTAGTTAAAATTTGACATATTATAATAAATTTTGAAGGTAATCATACATTTCAATATGATAAAAATACAATAGATAGTATTATTGATGTTCCGCCGATAATTACTTATCAAAATTTATTACGATTTTATTATTGTACTTCTATTTAAAATGAATCGTAAACTGCAGAAATGAGACAAATCCTTTCAGAATCATATACTTATAATTGTATTCAATACTTAGTTCGTTGTCCCCCGTGAACAGTTAAAATGTTATTAACGTATGTGTACCATATGTATAACATATTTAAACTAACAAGTTAAACGTTGTTTGAAAGTTTTTAGAATTTGTTAAACATTGTTTTCCGAGATATTCGAGATACGCGTTTTGTGGTACCAACTTCCCGTAGCACCACACACAAACTCAAAGCAGGGGCGCGTAAAATATCGGAAAATATTTTGTAGGAACTGTATTTTATTGGAAACGTACTTTGTCAGAACCGTATTTTGGCGGAAAAATAATTCGTCAGAAAGTATTGCCCTCTCTCTCAGTGTCGCCAAAACTGATCACAAAATAGTCACAGACGTTTGTTAGACGTTGTTTGAAAGTTGTCAGAAATTGTTTTCCATTTATATTATTAATATCAACGCTATTTCAGAGCTAAAATTACAAATGCACGAAACACAATATTAGCACAGCACAGTATCATTAGGTATATCTTTAAAAAATAAGTAAAAAAAAAAAATGAAAAAAAACAGCTATGAAATTGGATTTCTTATCGACACACATAACGCGACAATATAATAATATCGTATAGTATTATTATCAGCGTTTTTTACGGCGCCCCGAGGCATCGCGATACCAATGCGTTCTTCTGGTATTTTACGTTTTCGTTAGAATTTTTTTTTCGCTCGCTCGCTCGCTCGCCGCCGAACCTCTGCGTGAGAATGCGGATAACAATAATATAATGACAACAACGCCATTACAATTATTGTCGCCGTCGCCGTACGCCACACTAAACAACGCAAAGCGAGAACATCGCGTGTCGTGCTACTGGAGACGGCACTGTATCCACGAGTTACGATATATTATTACTGTCATTATAATATTTCCGACCGCGAAAGACACCGTATCCGTATTATAATGCGGCAACACAATGCGACGATCTTAATACATTACACACATGTGTATATATCTGTATAATAATATCTTTTCCCGGCGCGTGTTTTCGTATGTGTAAACGAGCGAACGTGACCTAAACGTTTAACTGTAAAAATACATTTATATACATATACTTACCGTGCTTGTTAACCGGGCGTTTATGCGTGTTCTTTTTTTTTGTTTTTTTTTTATGCCTACATACGGTCTCGGCGTGAACTTGCGACGGTAACATTTTAAGACACCGTCACGGTTTTTTTTTTCTTCTTCTTTTATTCGCGACGTTATACCGCGATGATGTTATTATAATGTATACACGGGGCATACGAGAAAACGCGCGTTTAACGCGGGTACGGTTCGTTATTGCGACCGAAGATTAATTGATTGATCACTGAAAATAATCGTAAAAATAAGCGCGGCCGCGGGCACTGACGGGCGACGAAAGTTTCAAAATCCAGTCGATTTCGTTGAAAACCCCTTCGATAAAAAAAAAAAAAAAAAAACGGCGGGCGTATGTTATTCTCGTCAGCAATTCAGACGGGTTTTCCCGCAATCAATCCGACCGATATGTAAAGCGATTACAATATGTTTGAAAATTCGGTATAACAGATTTAAATCCGACGTGTTCGCTATCGATTAAATCATTTTTTTCAAATTTGTTTTATTTTTATTTTTTTTTTTTTTCATACGCGTTCAAATTAAATTTCTGGAAATCGTAGGCACTGAAATCCTAAAAAGTGTCCTGTCCGACTTCGTGCACGCTGCACGTTGAATTCAAATATGTTTTCAGAATTCGTATCGTTTCACCACTATACGTCTGTGTTGCTTTCCACGCTGAGTATGTATATATTGGACACTGAAGGAAAATATCGGTACCCAGTTCCCTTATTAAATATTATCATCGTTTAAGATCGCGGATTAGCAATGGTGTGAAATCCGTACAACGAGAATCGAATACTGCAGGATCGCAATATTAATTATCGAACTGACGGAATAACTATACAACGAATAACAATCGTAACGGAATTGGCCGCAGTGTCCATAATTATATTATTTGTATTTTTCGGTAATATTATCTATTAGAATACGTACCACACTAAAATAATCACGGTACGGTTAAAATTGCCGACGATAATATAAGTAATAATGTAATGTACTCGTAACTCGTGTTAATCGGAGATCGGATTTTAGAGAACCGCGCGCGAATTCCAACGTGAATGTTATCCGGAATGTTCGCGCGAGGGATCACCGTACCTTATAGGCTACCGTCGTAATACATACTCGCATACCTATAGTATTATTATGAAAACGAAGAAAAGAATGTTGCAGGCGGCATAGGTGGGAGTTATTTTTAGGTCGCATTCGAGTCGCGAACATCCGATACGTCATAATGAATACTTATACATTTGACCTAAAAATAAAAATAAAAATTTCCGGGTTACGCACTCCATAAGAATCTTTGCGCACGCCAACTGACGCAAATGATTTCACGTGTATGTCCGTCGTTATTATTACCATAATCCATCAGTGTTTATCTTTATAATTTTTTTTTTTTTTTCAATAATATAATAAACAAACGTAGGTATTGTCGCCGTTAGAAAAATGTAAATTTAAATCGTTTCGAACGATCTCGACCAACAGCGGCCGCAGTTATTTTAATTTTTTTTTTTATTTAGATACTTGGATCGCGAGTTTTTGGCGATTTTTTTTTTTTATCGCCAGGGGAGTAGCGGGTGTACCTCGGTATAAGTGCTCGCGAATTGTTTGACAAACACATAAATAATTTAAACACACGCGTTTCTCGGCCATAACGGTTCATAACATCATTTTGGTGTAAAATTCACGGGCGTGCCGACTTATTATTACCTATTTAATTATTATAATATTTTATAGTGTGTGTGGGACACGCCGCCGGTCAACAATAATAATTGTCGGACTCGATATGGCTGTGGTATGCGTGAATGAAGAACAGTACATTTTGTTTTGCGCGCCGTCCGAACGAAATTCGTTACCTACACTCGTCTGTGTCGGGAAGTTATTATCTACATGGTAGGGTAGGCATGTAGTAAATAAATACATATGGTATTGTTCAATTCGCTGTGAAATTGTTATTGAATTATTACTATGCGTGTTTATAAAATACCACTTGCGAATTGTGATCTATTAACGAATTGTTGATGTTCCTCCGTCGAAAACATGTACTGCACTGGTTGGTATACACCGGTGTACCCGTTTTATTCTAAACGGACAGTTTGAAAAAATAATAACAGTAACAACTAATATTTCACGAGAACTAAACATAAAGTGTACAATTGCGGAGTATGCGAGTACCTATTTAGTATAGGTACCGTTTTGTAAACACGTCAAAATACATGTCACACACGGAATGGAATAAAACACTGTACAATGCGATTACCCGCTGGCAAGATGATGTATTTTGTTAAAAAAAATTTTTGTTTATATTATACGTTGAGTCTTCGGGGGAAGAACGCAGTTTAAAAAAACATTAAATTACCTTTATTATTATAATCGCCAATAATCGATTTCTCGTAAAGCTGCAGACGGTAATTATATTATCTTTGATCCCGGGGATGAAAGGCTTAGTGTGTATATGTTTTCAAAATTTAACTGGGTTGAATTGAAAACCATAAAAGTTGACTTGAGCACTTTTTCCCTGGGAATAGCGGATTCAAAGCCCACAGGTATACATAAAACTACAAAGTTACGATTTTCACAAAAATGTAAGTGTCTTCGGAGTTAATTTTCTGTTGATTTACCGATTACACTTTGGTCGATCTCGACATTATTCTAAAGTTACTTGAGCCGGCGTATATTTTAAATGCAAACATATTTGACATTTTTATTTTTACATTGAGTAATATATGTACGTGATCTATTGTTTAATTATATAGGCACCACAAACAGGGATACATTTAACTGTACCAAACTATTACTCTGCAGTTATATCGTTGTTATATGGATACCGAAATATCGAATAACTCTCCCGGTTGTGAACTTTCCGACGGTGTACGTGTATATATAACATATCGCGAGTACCTAATATTTCAACGCCTGTTTGGTTTTTTTTTTTCTTCCTATGTCGGATCTGTAAAAAAAAACTCATAGGTACTCGTGCCTATGAGTATAGTATACAAGCGTTATTGTATAATTCACCGAAAACGATGGCTCGCATTGGTATACACGAGCATACACGCGCGTTTTATTCTTATATTCAAACAAAACGGACCGCCTGAGACGTGCAGTAAGTTAAACGTACGCAAATTATATTATAAAACCGCCGACCCGTGGAAATCGTCCGATAAAGTAAAATTATCCCGCACACCGTCGGACTAGATTTTCGGCGGAGGCGTATAACGAAATAATTAGCGTTCGGTCGGCTACCCGTACACACACAGACGCTATGAAATCATTTTCTACAACGCGGTCTACAATAATATTATGTACAAGATCATCGTAATAATACGAATATTTCCTATATATGTAGGGTAGGTATACTATCGACGAACGCGTGTACCAGCACCACTGACCGTCGTGTCGAGAATGACTCGACTCATCTACAGCATATACAACACGCATGACCGATCGAAAATTTATAATCGATAAACATTTTTGGTTTTTTTTTTTTTCTATAGACACAGAAATCGTTCCTTTTCTTTTTCTTTTCCTGGTTTTTTTAATTATCGCCACGAGGATCCGGACAACGGCAAAAAACGCGAAACGCCAAGGTATACTTTTTGTATACTGCGCGATGCGATGCGGTCACTGCAGCAACAATCGCAATAATTATTCTGTCAACTGGAAATCGATGTTTTTTTTTTTTCCCCCCATCCTCAATCGAATAATATTATAAATTATAATGTACAGGCACGAATCTTGACGTTCTGCGTATAATATTACCGTCGATGCGGAAGACATCGCGGTTATGCAAATACAAATAATAATAATGATAGGCATCGATGACTGCCTGCGCAACGGCCGAATTGTTTTTATACAGAATGATCCGTAGTTTTACGAATCCCTTTAAAACAATAATATTTACTTCATAATATAATCGATTTTTAGATGGTAAACCGATAATCGTTTTCCCTATTCCTCGGGTCTAAAATTTAAACTGTGTCATAACTCATAAAATCGTTATTGATAGCGGTGTATGCGTATCGAAATGTATAAACAGATTCTTCTCTCAATCTCTCTACGACTTTGTGTTTACACGGGACGGTCCCTATTTCAAAACAAAAAGTATAATATTACTCGTCTGAGGTGGGTGTAAGGAGACGGGGTAAACAATTGAAAATAACGTTAAAATAAAGCTTATAAGAAACGCATTATTATTAACGCAGTAACATACTAACATGTGTCGTCTCTATCGGAAAATATGTCTAAACAAATGAGGCTTCCGATAGTGTTCAGACTTACACCAAAAATTATTTCACCAAGGATTAACACTTTTATTATATTTTCAAAGAGGGGTTTATTGATATAGTGATTATACAGTTTTTATTAAGACAAAAAAATTAATTATTTTTTTTTTTTACCATAGGTACTGTATTATAATTATTTAACAGATATCAAAATAAAAAAAAAATGTCCCCTTTTCAAAACATAGTGCATGCGTGGTCGTCTTTAATTTTGGCGAAAGAATATTCGTTTAAGGTCTAGGTCCCGAGTACGATGGGAATACCGCTTAAACGTTTTCATTGCAGTTGGAAAAAAATAACCGAAATCAAATACGCTTATAAAAATTCCTCCGTGAACACCGCCGGTCCGCGATAAATTGAACACTCTGTATATCGCTATAAATACCATGTGCGTATAGAAAGTCATCGATAATATGTCGTATCCGACCCGTGCGTATCGGATCGCCGGAAGTTTAGGCCCATAGGGTTAGCGTACCCATGTATTATTAATATATTATAAATAGTTACGCGACGTAAAAATCACTAATAAGCTGAAGCATACGCATTATACCTATAATCAGTAGGTAACTTATACAGAAATCGAGGTTGGCGTTCTAATCAAAGTGTATAATATTTCGTATTATTAGGAAGTCCGTATATAACACATTAAATAACTACGCCGATTATAATGATATACTCGTATAATATAGACGCGTCATCGTCCGTCGGTCTTGTAATACAGGCTTTTCATTTTATAGGCTATATATTTATGTATAATAAATACAAAAACGTCATTTAAAAAAAAATATTTCGTCGTTTTTATTGCTCAATTATAGGCGTGTTTTGTCGATGCAGTTATACGAGCGACTTGATGGCTAGTATGGTTTACAGTGAACAAACTTTTTCAACGGTATATAGTTCATTTACAGTGTTGGGAAAGTTCCTTTTAAAAAGTAATTTGTTCCCGTCCCTCGTTCCTTAAAAAAAGGAACTCGTTCCCTGTTTTTTTTTTTATGAATTCCCATGTTACATATTCATAAAAAAAATATATCGATAGCATGGGTGCAGCTACTGCTGTAGGTGGGAAGTTGGGATGGTAGAATAACTAAAATTGGAAACTATTATTACTTCTTAGAATTAACATGTTTAAAATTCTAATAAATTAAATTAAATTAATTTTCTAGTTCCTACTCTACAGAAAAATAAATTAACAAACATATCACTTTAAAAATCAATGATAAGGCAATAAGTAATAAAATAATTAATCATCAATTAACTGTACCTGTACAGTAAACAAAACGTTTTAGCGGAAATGCAACCGAGTATAGATAACAGTGCAACAAACTTTTACCGATAACTGCATTACCAAAACACGCATGATATAATATTATTTATTGTGTATAGTTTGAAAGACCATTTCGCAAGAAAAAATACGCCCGCGTATTTTATACCTACCTCGAATAAGAATACGAATAGGTACGAAATTATAATTCGTGTGAGACTTTTTTTTTTAAAAAAATTGAACGTTGTGCTTTTATTGTTGTCATTGCCGCAGTTATAACGGTAACAAAATCATTCGATCTCCCCTATAGGTACCTTTATTATATACTCGTTGCAGAGACAATTGATGGTAACCCGGGGAATCTAGGACACGACTATTTTCCCATCAGAAATTTTACCTAGATAGAATAATTAACAATAGTATTTTAATTAGGTTATAACTATAAGCTACGGGTATACGTGTATAATAACATAATATAGACACTATTATATTAATACACAAAACCTTAAACCACTTCCGATTTGCAGCCGAGAATAGAAAATATCACTTGTACAAATATATTTTTAATGAAGGTAATCGAGGGCCCGCCTATGGGCGACTACACGTATAAAATAACTACGTCGTGTACCGATAGTTTATATATGTCACAGTAATCCAGGATGTACCGGTAAACTCTAGGTTTTAGAAAACAGTTTGGTCAATCCCCAAATGATTTTTATAGTCGGGACTTTTCCAAACGATACTTAGTAAATCTTAGGACGAGCAACTTAGTCCGAAATTTCATTTTTCTTTTAATATTTATCGAGTGGTTTTATCCCTTGCTTTATACGAGTATAAACTGATATCAATCGAATATTATACGATAATTTATTATAAGTTTATATCATCACAAAAATTGAAAAAATTATTACTCTTATTAGATTATTACAATATTAAACATATAATATTTATTACAAAATTTATTATTTGTTTATGCAGGCTTGGCTACTATAGCCAAATTGGACTATATAATACTTTTTTGATCGACATTTTCATCGATTTGAATTTTATTACAGTTCGCCAAATAAAATCCTAAAAAATGTCTTTGAAAAAAAATCCTTTTATGTCCAATAAAATTTTAAATAATAAACGAACATTTTTTTTTTTTGATGCTCCACTACTCTTACAGTCCGCTTACCTAAACTTAAAAGTGGAATATATTATCAACAGGTTGACAGAAATCATACGTTTCAACGCCAAAATAATGTACTTAAACTAATATTCCGTCCATTTATGAAATTTTTAATATAGGCTTCAATTTGAAAATCAAAAAAAATAAATGTTTCAACTAAAAATAAAGTTTTTACACAATTCATTTTTTTTTTTTAAATGAGTATTTCATGAGAAATTTGACTGCAACACGGAAATTATAAAAACCTAGTGTACAACTTACAATATATTACTTCTACTTCCATCGGCTTAATTTTTTTCTTTTAGTTAAATAATACAAAAAAGCTGTCCTAGGATAATCGAGACGGGTGCAGCTACTGTTGTTGGTGAAAAGTTGGGAGGGTAGGATATAAAGAGGAAATTAATTTGTATCTGTAAGCAACGATAAACCATTGCTTACTAAAACCGATTTTTAGCGGAGTTCAGTTGATTGTGATGCAAAGCTTTATCAACAATATTTATGTCATATTATGGTAAAATAATTAAATAGGCATTATATAATTTCGTCGATAATATTTGTTTAATATTGTAATTATTTTCTCGTTTTTCCCGGTTGTTCTTGAAAAAATTGAAAAATGACCTCCCCAAAGTACCAAGAAAATTTCCTTTCAGAAAAGGGTCTACATCGGAGATGTAATCAGAGTATGCTTCCTAATAGAAAAAATGTTAACGTCATAAAAAAATAATAATAAAAATAAACATCTTTGTAAAACCAATAAATTCTTTGCTTCACTCAAAATATAAAAATCTAAAATAGAAATAATAATAATTCAAAATAATGTAAGATTCCAAAAACTTTTTACATATGCCGTTTAAAAATACAAAAAGTATTTCATGATGAAATCGACGGTTACATAAAACTTTAAATATTCTGTACATGCCGAAACATGACAGGGTTCTTATTATTTCGTTACCCCAACGTATCATGATGATCCTTCGTATGTTTATAGCTCAAACGCGTGTTGCACAAAATTACCTTAAACGTCATGCTACCACTACAATTCCCAAACGTGTCCAAAAGTTTATTTGGAGAACATCGATTTTTTTATATTTAAAATAAAAATTATTTATATACAATCAGAAATATGTTTGCATTTTTATTTTTTGTTCCAGGAATAAAAGTCTCAATGTTTTAAAACGTCCGTCGACTATATTGTAGAGGATTATTGACGATATTAATACACAGTTTCGAGTGGATTTTAAGATTGAGATCGTCCGCGTGTTTCGAGCATTTGCAGTTATAACCGATATAAAATCAAATCAACGAGTGCGCTGAAACAACACCTACCCGATATATTTTGAGCAAATATGAACATTCAAATCAGGTAATTTATTATACGTCTATATATTATCTTGTGATTAAATACCGAAATCGGGCATATAACGGATATTATCATACTAATCACATACTGAATATCCGTGAAGAAAAAAGTTCGAAAATTAATTTTATAACCCGGACGGGTCGGTGACACGTGGTGTCCCCAGTCACACCCAAGGTTTTCTTGGCTTACCCGGGGGCGGGGATTTCATAAAAAAATTCTGAGAATCGGGCATTGGTCGTATAATTCATATTGTACACATACATAATATACATAAGCATTAAATATTTACGTAAGAAAAATAACAAAAATCGAACATGAGGGGGGAACGCGTACGTATATTATTTTTAATGTTATATTATCATTCTGTCGTCGAAAAATAATTAAAATAGAACATGATGTACAGAAGCAAATACGGGTATATAATTATATGCAGTTATTTTGTACTGTTTGCGTTAATGATATGCTTTCGCTGCAGCTCATACATCAATATTATTATATTACACGCGTGCGTATTAGATTTAAGTATATAATCTTTCAACCTAGTTTGATATTTCTTTAATATAGAACACGGCGCGTTTAAATAAAATACACACTTGGACACATTAATTTAAATATGTTTTAACCACGGCGCGGTATTAACGCATAGTCGCATCATAAAACGAGAACCCATTTATGTTGGCCTGATTTTATGAGTCGGACATAATATATTTATTATTTGAACACTATAAATGTATCAAAATCCGATATTTATTGTTTAAAAATATTACTGTTTTTTAAAATAATCTGTTTCTTATAAAATTATATTCGTTAGACGCTATTGTATTGGTATTATACTTACCTGGTATATATATATATAAAATACAATTTTCATGGATGATCGCTCGTCAATAATATAATACTATCGAACCGTAAAAAAATAGCGTTATTGATGGTTTTCCATCAATAACCTCCAAAATATAATAATTGTGTACCTACAATATTATTATATATTGTAGTACGGTGTCGGACGTATGTTTTTAATATTTCTTAAATATAGTTTTTATTATTTTTTTTTTTAATATTTACTTTTAAATATAATACCACAGGTAATTATTACGCCTATTATTTTTGACAAGTATAACATTTTTTTCTTTTTCTTTTTTTTTAGCTTTTAAAATAATTACACAAAACGTACCTGATAGTTCAAATTATGCTATGAATAGAAAAGTAGAAAGAAATTAATAGAAGAGTATAGAAAAAAACACTAGGTCATTTTTACTACAAAACGGCGTTAATATCGCCGTCTTGTAGTAAAATAATATTATAAAAATAATTATAGCATTATAAGGTACATTAAAATACAAATTAACCAAAGATAATAATGTCTAATTTATTCGCGGGGGATAATATTTGATATCAAAACAAATTATTTAAACGTGTGGTATTGAAATAAATATAAGTAGGAAAGAATTTAAGATAATTACCCATCAGCACTGTTAACTACATACATATAAATTTAACTGAAAGACGTATTTGAATGTAATACTTTGATCAAAAATACATTAAAATTATAAAATTCGATAACGTTGTCAAATTCATTCGCGTTTTTAAAAGAGCCGCAGCAACACACTACAATAATAATATTTTATATCGTTGCCTAGCGTTAAAGTCACTAAGGAATATATTGTGTACTAGATACCTACCTACTCAATTTTCATAATATAATTTTATGACACGTTTTGTTATTATTCGTAAAAATAAATGTTTGTATTTTTTTTTTTTTTTTTTTTTTCATTAATTTGTTAAATAATAATTATTATAGTATAGAAAATGTTAACAGTTGAAAGAAAATCTGAATCTCAAAACGTGTTATTCGTGTTATAAAACACTGATGAAACCAACAATGAAGGTTACCGCTGTTATAACGGGATTTGTAGTGAAACAAAATCGATAAAAAAAAAAAAAACTCGTAAAGTTTATTGATAAAAAAAGTAAACACAATATACAACCTATACATATAATATAGATTCGCCATATTATAATGCATGTAAAGTGTTATAGATAAACAATTATGTTAGTATCTTATATATTATAGATAACAATGTAACATTATCGTATAAAATGTTCAAACTTTAAAATATAAACCACAGCGTAATTATGCACCTAATTAGTAATAATTACTTTGGTGCATACTTGTTTATTAGGTAATATCAGAACAAAACAGATTCATACAAGTGCGTTTATATATTATGTGTTTCGATCTCCTCAATAATATGTGCGGCATTTCGTTTTTCTATAATTAAAAACCATCAAATACCTACTGTTTAATAGGATGATGACGACAATACAATGCACGGGGTTTTTTTTAGCGTTTTAAATAAATGTATAATATAACTGTAAACAAATTCTCAGAAAACGCGTATGAATAAGTTTTACTACGGTACTATCGTCGATTTAAAATGGAATACCAAACAATAATCAACAATATGTGTTAAAAAAAAAACCGCTTTAAAAATCTCGAAAAATGCACTAAAAACTCAAACATTTTAATTGTAGGTTTGAAAAACTATTGAGTTTTAATGAAAAAAAAAAAAAAAAAAAAACAATTAACTATCTGCTTTACATTTTCAATTATTTTATAATTAGTTTACAAAAAATTTAAATATTTGTTTTTTTATTTATTTAGTTCTAGGCACGTATACAAAGGAATCAAAGAAAAAAAAAGTTTAACATTGTTGATAAACTGTTACGGTAAAATTTGACGAAGAAAAAAAAGGAAAAATGACCTAAACGGTAAAAATGCCGGTAAATTCAAAAAATGCAAAACAAAAGTTCCGTCGTTGAATCTGTTAAAATAAGCACTTAAAATATAAACACTTGATTCAGACTTTGTGATTATAGAATTAATATACCTGTTTTCTTACAAATTCACCGTTCTGTATGTATTATAACTATTAATCAAGTTATCAAATATCAGAATATAGTATAATGTATCCAGAATAACAAGTGCCCTAGAATTTTCAATGGGAGGAGACAACAACTATGGAGATAACAACTATGAGTCACAAATGAATCGTAGAATCTTCTCTCTTCTGTGATACCTAACCCGATAATGATAGTTTAAAAGCCGGATACAAAATATCCAATTTATATTCAATTAATCAAGTATTTCCTTGTAATCTGATTATATACTATTACTCACGGTTGTTGTATTCGGCCATTCGAGGGTGCGACTCAGTAAAATCTATATTATCAAGTCTATTCGCTCGCGTGGCAGTCGTCGGTTTTGGCTTTAATTATCCTACGTACACCTTTTTATTAACCGCTATTTTAAAAATATATTATTTTTTATTTTGTTGTCAAATTTCCCCGAAAATAGAGACTATTTCTACATTTCTGAACTATTAGTGATTCCCTCTAAACCTAATGAATACAAACTCGGTAATTCAAGTTGTTTTATAGGCGAATTGGTATGATAAAAGTTGGTATACATTTCAATATGAACTTCATCGTGTTTTTTTTGGATGTAGGTCGTTGTTTAAGCTTTGTTCACCCCTACAAACCCTCCACTATATCCAGGGTGATGAAATGTTGTATATGCGTTGTGCATTTATCAAACATGTGCTTTTTGGAAGTTTCAACTTTGCCTTACCGTTTGTTTGTAAGTCAGCAAAAACCTCGAGAACTACTTCACTTAATTTGATGATCTTTATTATATTCGATTCCTCATTATTAACAGAAGGTTATAGGTTAATTTTTATATCTGAAATACGAGAGGGGTAATAGACTATGAAGTGGGACAGGGGGAAGAAGTAGTCGCGGTCACTATTTTAGATCGATTAAAAAAAAAAATTAAACATTGTACGACAAGTCCGCTGGAGAAAAATTCGACTCTAGTGACGGAACTCTGTTGCTCACGGGAGTTTTTTTTTTTTTACACAAGCGGGTCGTTCGCGCACGGGTGCACTTCGATCGTCTCTGTTGTCGTCGTCGTGTGTACGCGTGAAAAGCCGTGACCGCAATGCCATTACCGTGTATAAATAAGCGTACGCGTACACGTGCACTTGTATCTTATTATTACGATTCGTATTATTCGCTATACCTACCTAAGTACACTGCAACAACAACAATAATAATGATAATAATCCGATATGGAGGTCACCCTTTCGGTGAGCGGTATTCGTCGCGGAAATGGAAATGGAAGAAGTCACCAATACGTGTAACCGGCTGCGGCTTCGGTTACCACGACCGTGGTAGTGGTCTCGTCGTCTAGAGAAGGAGAGTTCGATGCACCGTCGCAGCCACCGCCACCGACATCTCGTCCGTGTAATACGATAATATTATTAGGTATACCCGTCGCCACAGTCTTCGCGTGAACAGGTCAGTTTCGATTGTTCCGTCCGCGTCTTCGCTCGTCCGCTCGCCATTCTCGCGTCCGTTATAATATATTAATCAGTATCGTTAAATTTTCGCGGTTTCCTCGGTTTTTGTTAATTTTTTTTTTTTTTTTTTTACCGCTCACGTGTATACGGTGTTCTTCTCACACTTTAAGTTAGCCACCCCAAAGACATTAAGTGAGTACAACATGAGAAAAAATAATATTTTATTTGTTGTTATTATTATTGTTGATACTGTTGTTATTGATAGCTTAGTTACAAGGCCCAATCCCACAACAACCCACTCTACTTGTCCTATATAACTTGCAACTCCTTCCGCATAACTGTCCTCCCAACAATCATAGGCCTTCTTTTACTCCGTTTGTCCACCATTATCTTCTTTATCCTCTGGGTGTTTGTTCTTCGTCTAGGCACCTGTCTAATTATAGTGTTTCTGAACACTACACACAGACGGCCAACTT